TGCCCCTACTCCAATTGGGGTCACGCCGGCGGGCCGTTGGGCCTGTTCCGGGCGCCGGCGGCGGCTCTGCTCTGCCCCTCTGGCTTGATGACAAAGTGAGAGAGACTCGGGTGTTTGTGACTCACTTTCTTTACCAGGAGACCAACTGTTTCTGTCACTGCTGGTATCGATGAAGTTCTCTCCTCCGCCGCTTTCTGATGACATCAGATCTCTGCCATGTTGGTATCCCATGCGAATGGCAGCATTTCGTTCCTTTTGCTGGGTGACCAAAGCAACGGGTGAGTCCTGACCGGCCCTCACAGGCCCCGTCTCAGTCCTGTTGCCACTGCCTATGAAGGCTCGGTTGGTATTTACCTCCACAGTATTCAGCAGGACCCGGACCAAGAAGCAGTTTCCGCGGGTTCTTTATCCCTGGGCCAGAGCAGTTCCGGGAGCCGGAATTCGGCCGCTCCGTGCTCGGTGTATGTTCTGATAGGAGCAGGCTCCAAGAAGCAGTTTCCGCGGGTTATTTAGCACTGAGCCTGAGTAATTTGTCTGCAAGCCACAGGCGAATGGCAGCCTGAAATTACCTGTTCTATGGCTGAATGAGCTGCGATCAGTCGAAAACAGGGATGGTGACGTCAGCTCTCCAAGATGGTGGCCACTGGCTTCCTCTGTGGTCTGACCGGTGTGGAGAACCGAATTGGACCGCTTCCTTCCCCTGTCTCAAACCCAGAATTCCTCACTGAGTACGGTGATTGCACAGCTGGCAGAAGCCTGCGGAAACTGCAGCACTGTATCTTTGCATTTCTATCTCCTCGTTTCCCAGACTCTAGCCGTGGGGCAATTTGCTGAATAAGCAGCGTGACCCTCTGTGTGGACAAATCTCTCGCGTTTGAGCCCCCGTAGCTGATCCTCGTGCGATGGAAATCCTTCCTCTAGGTTTTGGAGCACCCCAATTTTGCTGGAAATTCCTAACAAGATAGCTTTTAGCCTTTCTAACTCGTCATTCTCCCGCACAGTGACGCGGTACACGGGGGTAATGCACTCCCTTCGCCGCCATCTTCCTCGGAAACATAAAAATAATTGAATTTTTAACTCAAAACTGATAATAAGGAACCCAAATAGTAAGCTATGATTGCTAGATATCCTAAAATAGAAGTTTAAATAAAATAGGTGAAAGTTTTAAAATTCAAACCAAATGAAGAGTGAGCCTTTATTTTATAATCTACCTATTTAACATTTGAAACCCTAAGAATTATGAGGGTGTCTAAAAGCTTCTTTTCCTCATATAAATCAGTAGAAAACATTTCAAAAGTCATATATATGGGGAGGCAGCCACTTTATAAAACAGTCCAGAAGCACCTCAAAAGGTTAAAGGTACATTATGTAGTAACTCTACCTCTAAGGATATAATCATGATAAATGAAACATATGTTGTCGCAAAGTCTTATATATGAATGTTCATAGCAGCATTATTCATAATAGTAAAAAAAAACAGGACAACCCAGATGTCCACTACTGATGAATGAACAAAGAAAATGTGGTATATCCATAAAATTCATATTTTCTACCATGAAAGTTCTGATACATACTACAAAATGGATAGACTTTAAAACATTATGCTAAGTGAAAGAAGCCAGACAAAAAAAGGCTTCTTATTTTAAAATCCATTGAAATGTCCAGAATCAGGCAAATCTGTAAACGGAAATTAGGTTATTTGTTGTGTAGGGCTGGGGAACAGGACAGGCTGAAGGAATAGGTAATAACTCCTAATTGGCATTAGTATGTACAGAGTTCCTGTTTAAGACAATGAAAATATTCTCCAACTGATGATGGTGATGGCTGTACAACTCTATCAAAATCATTGAATTATACACTTTAAATTACATGTAAGTTGTGCACTGATCAAAACCAAATGGTATATGAATATATGAATTAATCTCAATAAAGATATTATTTAAAAAATACAGCAGATGCAATTTTAGCTTCACCTGGGTTTTTTAAAAAGCTATCCGAAAACACATTTTTTTTTTTTTTTAGTTTTAGGTGGACACAATACCTTTATTTTATTTTTACGTAGTGCTGAGGATCGAACCCAGTGCCTCATGCATGCCAGGCGAGTGTGCTACCACTTGAGCCACATCCTCAACCCTAAAACACATTTTTAAAATTCATTTGTCAGAATAATTGAGCTGCCTAGAATTTTGCCAAGTTAAGGGCCAGACATGATGAACCTAGAGTAATCATGGAAAAACTGCAGCCCTTAGAGAGAGTTCTGTTTGATGTGAGTTGTGATGTGTCAGCACAAAGGAAAGACAATGCCACAAAGAAAGTCTTATGGCCTTTTGTTTTCTCTATCTTCTGCCATGGAGAAGTATCCTAATTCAGTGATAAGACAAATGTCAAAAAACTTACACATAAGCTGATTTTTATCAATCCTGAAAATTTAACTTCCCATTTGTTCACTAAGCTATAACCACACAGGTCTTCCTAATATGTTTTGATGCATTCAAGATACCTTGGGCCCTTCATACCTGCTATTCTCTTTGAGTCCTCACTCATCCTCAGGTCTCTGCCCAGCAGGCTCTGTACCATACACCTTGTCTCTCATTACTGTTTTATTTTCTCACAACACATGAAATTCTCATGTGTTTATCAATTCTTTTTTTTTTCTGTCTCTTATTATGTTCCATAAGGACAGACACTCTGCCTCTCTTGTTCTCCAATACAGATCTGAACCTACAACACTTCTGGACAGGCAGTAGGTACTTGACAGATATTCTTTGATCTCCATGGTACAAGTCATATCCAACTTCCATAAACAACAGCTTAAAGGTCAATCTCTGTGCCTTGACATCACACCTTTTCCAGGAGTCCAAGGGCACTGACACACTGCAGATCAGTTTATAGCCACCTCCTGGCTGAAAGGGCAGTGGCTCATACTGGAAACACAGTTGGCCCCTAAGGACTTCCCGTGCTTTCAGACTAATCTTCCCTCACCCTGGTCCCAGGTCAAATGGCGGGGCATGTTCAGGAGCCTCTCCCTGTGGGTTTATAAATAAGTCTGCCCTCATGGCTGGTTTTAGGCTGGCCCACATGGCATCTTGCCCTCAGTTTGCTCAGTTAATAGGACTGGTCCCAGAAAGATCAGCAAACCATCATGCAGAGAACAATCCAGGACAACTGGGGTATAAGAGGCCACACAAATAACAGTTCAACCCATCATGCCCCAGGGTTAGGAAATGTCCATTCTTACCAGAATTGCTACGTGATTTATTGTTCTTGTATGTCTGTCATTTAAATCAAGTGGATACCTAAAACATTAGACTATTTACAACCTTTGTCACTTAGTTCTTCACAAATTAATGAGTGCTGTTACAATTTTCAATTAATGCTCAGTTTGTCTCTATTTGGTGTATGTTTAAATATGCAGTACCACTGAAAAGTTAGTTGAGAATCAGTTAAGGAACGTGTCTCAAAGGTCCGATTCCTTCCATACTTCATTAGGTCCTCGTGAAACCTTGCATTAATGATTGGGCCAAATCTGAGAAGACAGTCATCACATGGAAGAAATTAGAATTTTGTTAAGTATGTGTGTCCAATATAAAAATCAAAAAGTGAGCCAGGTGCTATAGCATACACCAGTAATCCCAGCAACTAGGGAGGCTGAGGCAGGCAGATTGCAAGTTCAAGGCCATACTAAGCAACTTAGCAAGACCCTGTCTCAAAATAAAAGAATAAGAAGGACATGGGTTATAGCTTGGTGGTGGAGAGCCCCAGGACCACAAAAAAAAAAAAAAGAAAGAAAGAAAAGAAAAAAGAAAAAGTCTAAAGGACAGAGAGAGACCTTGTTTTTCAAAAGCTTAAAAATCAATCCAACAGTTATATTCTAAAACTGAGAGAATTAAGAAAACAAGGCAATAGAATGAATTTTTTCAGATTAGGCATGAGAAAAATGTAAACATTTTTTTTTCAATGAGGGCGTAGAACCCAGCACTTGACTTATGCTATGCGAGTGCTCTACCACTGAGCTGCACCCCTGGTTCTTAATCTTTCCTCTTGATAAAAGGTTTTTAAATGTGGAATAAGAAAATAATCATGGGCAATATTAAATGCAGCAATAGGAACATAAATGGAGCATTATTATTAATAAAAAAGGATTAAACTCTAGATTTTAATTATATTATTTTAGTAACATGTTACTGTTTTCCTCTGGAGAGAATCTGATACCATGGATTGGGAAGGCTCAAGACCTAGGTCTTCCAGTTCCTGGTTATGGACTTAATCTGGCATAGTCCCCCTGAGATTTGGTTTCTTCACGGGTAAAATGGGGACAACACACACCTGTCTCCTAGGATTATTGTAAGCCTTTATGGCATACAATGCACATGTAGTTCCAAATAGGATGACAGCACAGGCCATCCACTTTTTCCCCCCTCTTTGCTTATATGTCCTGTTTTCCTAAAAGAATCTATTTTAAATATTTCCATTTCAAACTCTTAAGTCTTTCTTGGTAGAAATATTTCTCTCTTTTAATTTCCCAAGGTTAAGAAAAACAATCTATCTACAAACTATTGAAGCAGGTATATAAGAAAATGAACACAAGCTATCGTTTTGTATGTCAAAACTGTGCTTCTGGGATGTTACATGTGGTGCATTAAAATAGAAAAATATAGAATTTCACATAGGCATAGATCCTTAAAAATCAACTACACTTATAATATGACCTACAAATTTTAGTCAATATACTAAATAAAAACATTGTTTAAAAATCAAGAAGTCTTATAACTCAGTAGTGTTGATTTTGAGGGAAGAACTTCCACTTCAATCTTTGTGAACTTTATTTATAAACCATACAATACTGACGAATGCACAATGTTGTTTTTATTGTAATATTCTGTTGGCTTCTAGGATGAATTGGTGATATCATCAAATTAAAAATCACTCAACATATTAAAATACAAATCTTTATTCACTGGAATTTAATTTGAAATGCACATGTAAAGTCTGTCAGCTTTCTAAGAAGTTATAACAACATACATAATAGACATTAGGTCAACAAATAAAACAAACAAAATTTTTAGAAGTCTCCCCACAATTTCATCTTCCAGACTTTGGGGGGTAGTAGTAGAAATTAATATCCAACTTTTTCCAGTCATATTCAGAATTTTCCTGCTCCCTAGGGGGAAAAAGAGAAAAGTATCCACAAGTGAACACATTCATAATCTAGATTCTTTCCAATCAACCTAATATTTGCATTATTAAAATACAGTGATGAAGATATGTCTTCTAGGGAATACTTTGTACCTATTTGAAACCAAACATGAATTAAAATATTTTCCCCCAATTCACTTTCACCATGTCATGGTCATCATGGTTGGTCTATATGACAAATGCTGAACTTCCTTTCATTCTAAAGAAGAGAAACAGCTCTTTTCACATCATCAGCAGTTTACTTATGAAAGATCTTCAGTTATTTATCACTTAAGCATTTTATTGGCATTTATGAAGTTGCCATTCCTCTAGCTTGTACAGTTGGTATTACCAGGAAATGAGGATTTGAAGACATGGAAAAGATAGGTAATGACCAAAAAAAAAAAACTTTTCCCTGATGTTTGTGATCACACCCAGGACCTCACACCTACTGGGCAAGTGCTCTACCACTGAGCCATGCCATCAGCCCAAAATTAAAAACAACAATAAAAAGTCTTTCTTTCTTTGACCTTTCCTCAAGTTCTTCCTTCATGTTTTGGTCACTGAATAGGACATCAAATGCTTCATTTCCTCCACGTCTCTGAATTAAACCCACCTGAATCAATCCCAGGTAGTAGTAGGTAAGGAGCTCCTTATTTGTTTTTGTTTTTCTTCCTCAGTCTGCTCTTGCTAGGTCAAGTACATTCAGCACAGGTGGTCTCCTAGCAACCTTGGCTCCTGTGTCAAAGCATATTAAAAGGTTTAATTGGACCTTGAGGTACTGGAGGTAGTGGAGGGGAGGGGAGCCTGCCTGCAGAAACTCTAAAATAACTTTCAAAAGTAGACAGGAAGGAGATGTTGAAGAGTGGACTTTGGAAAAAATGGGACATTTTAATTTCATTTCATCAGACTGTATGGCTAAAACCTAACATTTAATAGAAACATTCAGCTGACTTCTAGAGTTTTCCTGGCAGGGCATACATTCACAATTTTTAAAGAAAAAAATTCCTAAAAAAATATTTTAAAACAAATGCTTCAATATCTTCGTGGCAAAACAATACACACACACACACACACACACACACACACACACAAAGAAAATTTCTGTAATGTAAGAAAGTAAGTAACTCATCAGATTGTATCACTGATTTTTAAGTATTATAAGTTTTAGGATTTTGTATCACTTTCAGAAATAAAAAAAATGGAAGAGTGAGTTTTTAACAACAGTCTTTAAAATATGACTGCTATATCCCTCAACCAATTCTCCTTTGGCTAATCTATGCTAATTGAGACAGAGCTGGGAGGACCCCATTCCCCAACTCCTGCCTAACACAAACTTCTTTCAAAAAACATGTTTCCACCAATGACCAGATTCAGGACCTGTTGATTCCTCATCCACACTTTCCCACAACCCCCACAAGAGCAGTATGCCTGAACTTGACCTCTATATGACCTTCCTGAAGTAGGGGTTATTGGCACCTCAACTGTTTTTTCCCAGCCTATTGCAGAAGACCCAGTGCACAGGAGCAGATCCCCAGTGTCAAGTGCTGCTCCCAGTGCTGAGAACAAAGAACTGATCAGACATGTGCCTGCAGGAGCCCACCTTTTTGTCTGTATAAGCCCACCCTTGTTTCTACAAGAGTGCACCTGGAAACCCAAACCCCTGTGCTACTCTTTTTATGCTCAGTAAAGCTTCATTCCCATGATGTTGCTTCCCTCTTCATCATTTCTGTCTTAAATAGAGCAAAATAAGTCTAAGCTGAGCTGGTAACAGGAATGGCATGTCTTAAATATAAAGACTTTGTGCTCAAAAGCCTTCACTGCAGTCTTTTTTGCCTTGCCCTGCCCCCCACACCACACCCTTTCCTGGTAAGACTTTTTTTTAATTCAATTTAATTTATTTTTTTTTAATCAATTGAAGTACAGGTTGAATAATCCTGATCCCAAATGATTGGGACCAGAAGTGTTGCAGATTTCTGAGTTTTCCAGATTTGGAATTGTTGTATATACAGAATGATATATCTTAGGGATGGGACCCAGGTCTAAACTAGACATTCACTTATGTTTCATAGCCTGAAATGTAATTTCATACAATATTTTTAGTGCACCTGTGGTTTGACTGCAACCCATTGTATGAGGTCAAGTGTGGAATGTTCCATTGGTGTCACGTTGGTGTTCAAAAAATTTCACACTTTGGAGCATTTTGGATCTGAGGTTTTTGGATTAGTAATGCTTAATCTGTAATATTATACACATAGAAAAGTAGATAAAACATAATTGAGTAAGTGAATAATAAGTCATAAGTCAAAAAACCATAAACTTAAGATTATTACAAGATAAACACATACATCATATCCATCAGGCATATCCACTGTGTCATTTTCATTATAGGAAAAAAAATTAAAAGCAACAATAAGAAAACTGGCTAAATAAACTATGAGTTCACCACAAATGGAATATCATTGTCCATTCAAATGATGATTATTATCAAATAAGATCATGTAAATGCTACTTAGAAAATATTTAAGTGTGATTATAACTCATAGCCACCCATTACACTGCTAAGTACAACCTCTAAAGTAACATCAGTCTATCTGTACCAGGACACACATCCAAACATCATTCATAATATCTTCAACTTGGAAACAACCCAAGTGCCTATTAGTAGTAGGTAACCTGCAGCATAGTCACACAATGAAATATTACACAGTAATGAAAATTAAACTATGGCTACAAAACAGGAATCTCACAAACATACTATTCTATTTTTTAAAAGCAAGGAACAAGAGAAAACACACCACTTAAGTACTTTTGTATAAAGTAGAAAAACAAGTTAAAGGGCATGGTTCAGGGTGTATGTCTGAGTTGCCATAGTATCAGTGGTAAATCATCAAGAAAAAAACAAGATTGGTGGCCATAAAATCAGGATCATGGTTCCTAAGTGAGGGCAGGGGAAGGGAAAGGCTGGAGCTTCATTTCTTATTCTGTATGGCTACCCTGGCAATCACTTTCAACTGTTTGTTAAACTGTGGGTAGAAGTTTTATGTGCTCTTCATAATAGAAATAATAATTTTTAAAAGAGAGGAGAGAAATACATACAAACATCAGTATGATCCTACCAGTTAAGGTTGGGTGAAGCTGTTCCTATTCCTCATGCCCTTTCTTTTAGAAGGTGGTTGTCTCTATTATATCAGAAACTACAGAAAGTGGTCCTATTGCTCCTGGTCTTCTTCCCTCTTCATATATTTATTTTTTAATTTTTTATTTATTTTTTGGTACCAGAGATTGAACCCACGGGTGATTAAGCCATTGAGCCACACCCCCAGTCCTTTTATGTTTTATTTTGAGACAGGATCTCTAAGTTGCTGAGGCTGGACTAGAACTTGTCATCCTCCTGTCTCAGCCTCCAGATTGAAGGTGTTTGCTACCACATTCAGCTCCTCTCCATTTATTTAAAAGTAATTTATCCTGATTGTAACTTTCTCTAAGCAATTATTTTAACAAACGTGAATCAAATAAAAATTACATTTGTCAATGGAACATTTTAATGAGAATGTGTAATTTATATGCTCAACAACACAAATCTTTCACTGAAGGACACATTCCTGTCTCATTGGAAGTGCTCATTAAAAACAGGAATTTGGGTAATTCCTGTTTGGTTCTTCCCCTTGTTACTACGTATGAATCATTGGAAAGCACAAGTTTATATCATTCCAAATTTGTTAACAAACGCAGATTTTACTGATGATTAAAATTGTAAGTATCACAATACTCTTTTTTTTTTTTTTTTTCCATTTTCATTTTTATATAAAAGTGTTAAGACCACAATGAAAAAAGTTTCTTTTATCCATATATATATAAACCAGTTTGTGAGCTACATACTTTTGTCTTTCCCATCTTCAGAAATGTCCTCACATTGACAATGGTTATTAGATAGCATCATGCCCAAAGACATTGGCCACACAGTAAAACAAAAAACCCAGAAGTACTATGGTACAATTGAGGTAAAAGGGGAACCAAAACAATTTAACATTCGCCCATAAAGGATTTTTTTTCTTTTTCTTGATTTTTATCAGAAAAATACCAAACACAGTAATTTAAATAAAAAAAAGTCACAAAAAACTTTAGCGGAAGTAAATGACCAATGGGCCAGCTCCTTGGCTCAGACGTGATCACTACTAGTTTTCTAATAATCCACAAATTCACAGGGATGTGTAAGTCAATGTTGGGGGGGTGGTGGTGGCATAAAATTAAAAATATAAACCAAGTACCTCACCCTGGTATGCCCCTTTCCCTAACCCTCTCCCCTCCCCCACTTCCCCACCCCCACTCCACAAGCGCTCAAGACCCCAACACTCAAATCTCCATCAGATCTAGGTCAGCTTCTTCAAAGCCATAGAAAGACTCCGTCTCACTTTCCCCCTCAAAGAGCTGATGAAGGCTTTCGGGCTCAACTGTCTCTTCAGGAGACGACCTGGGCCGGGGAGTGGAAGCTGAGGGCTCCTCAGACTGTTCCCCGCTCAGCTTCAGCTGCTCCTCCAGGGAAGCAATGAGCTCCTCCTGCATGTCAGCATTGCGTGTAGGTGAGCTGATGTTGCCATCAGGGCCTGGCAGGACACTAGCCACAAGAAAGGACCTCTGAACTAGCTCAGGACAGTCCCCGATAACGCCTAGCACCTCAGCCAGCCAGACCAGCACCAGCTGAAGCAGGACATCAGAATCACACGCAGTGTCTGCCATCTCCCGAGCCTGCTCCTTCCACTTTTTGTGCAGGAAGTTCTTGACAGTTCGTTTGATGCACACATCTAATGGCTGGATTTTGGAACTACAGCCTGCTGGAACCACTGCAGGCAAGGTGCTCGAGGCACTAAGCATCGCCAGTACCTCCTCTGACAAGTGAGTGCGATGACAGTCCATCACCAGCATGCCTTTGCTGCGCTGGCAAGCTGTGTGCTTCTGCCACACTCGGGATGACCACAGCTCCATGATCTCGTCATCGCTGTAGCCACCCTCCTTTGCCTCTAGCAGTATAGAGTCCGGCACCTTAGCAGGCTGAGCCATTTGTCCTCTGTAGAAAACCAGGGTGGGAAGGACAGTGCCATCTGCCAGAATGGCCAGCACTACGTCACACCAAGGTTCCCCTGTGCCCACGGTCTGCAGGGCGTTCTCCTTTCGGTCGTCGTTGCTCAGCACCTCTGTATCCAGGAACAGGGAGATCTCATCGATAGCCACGATCATAGACAAGGGTAGGTCCTGGTTATGAATTTGCCGCTGTACAAACTCAATGAAGAGTCCTGCATTCTCTGCCACGTCCTTTGGCAAGGTGTGGGCCACAGCTCGCCGGGCATGAGGAGTCAGGTGGTGTCGCAGCATGAAACGCACAGCCCACTCATAGGAGATCTTAAACCCCCCCTCCAAAGAACGCCCTATTTTGGTGGCTTTCTGAAACAAGGTCTCCTCATTCACAGGCAGCTGCTGCTCTCGCTGGGTCAGGACCCACTCGGCCAGTTTCTCTTCTGCCTCAAAGCTTAGATATTTGCCCTCTAGATTCTCCCCCTGGGAGGCCTGGAAACGACGAAGCCAACGCCGGATGCGTCGCTGGGGATTTCGGAAGTGTTCAGCGGCCTGTTCTGTATTGCAGCAAAGGGCAAAAAGGACTACGCGAAGCTTCTTCACGGAAAGTTGCTCCTTCTTGCCAACCCCATTGCCTCCGCCACCTGACGCTGGCTCAGGTTCCTGGATGACTGGGCTCCCTTCGTCCTGGTCATCAACATTCAGACATTCAGCCCCCTCTGG